GGATTTAAATCCTGCCTGTGTCACAAACTCAGCAGTTCATTTCTGCTCTCGAGGTCTCCATTTTTTTCTTCTATAAACTGGAAGAAGTCATTTCCCATCCCTGACATAGGGACAAGATAGTGTGAAACTCAAGTAAGATAAGCTGATAGGAGAGTGCTTGGTAACTGTGCGATCCAGCACTTTTCCAGGCTAAGATCTGCAGCTGTGGCAAAAGGCCCCCCAAACAAACACCAATGGACTAAGAATTGTAGGCTCCAGAATGCAAACTTTAAGCACCCAAACTTACAAGAAAAATAAAAAATGGTATGTGTTCCTCTTAAGCACTTGGCCTTTGCCCATGCTTCTCCTGCTCCCTCGACATCATCCCTGCCCCCATGTTGTCTGGTGAGGGTCTCCTCACCCTGAAGCCATCCCTGAACCCCACGCCAGGTCAGGCATCCAGTGGGCAATCCCATCCCACCTCTGCCCATCTGGTTGTCACTCTTGCAGAATGGGTCGGTCCCTACTGGACTGAGCTCCTTGAGGGCACAGATTGGGCTGACTTGGTCCCTGCTGTCTCACCAACACTGCCCAGCACAAGGCCAGGCACAGAGTCGATGCTCAGAAAATACTAGCCAAATGAAGCAATGGATGGATAGATGGATGGATGGATGGATGGATGGATGGATGAGCCAACAAATCACGTCAATTTCCTTATTCTGTGCTCCCATAGGCCTATTCATCTAGTTCATCTTTTTAAAGTAGCTTGTATTTTGAGTGTTTACGATGCCCTTTAGATCTCAGCTCGGGATGCCCTCGTCTAGACACCATGACCCTGGATCTGGTGGCCTCTCTGAGCTCCAGAGTTCCCACCACCCTGACCACTCGGGGGTGACAACGACGGGTCATGAGTGTCTCTCCCAGTAGCCAGCATGGGCTGTCTCTTGAATAAATGGACGAGCAAACACAGCGTATCAGTGGATTAAGGAACAGATGAATGAGTGTCTGTCCACTCTGGTTAAACTGCCTTTTTTCCAGGTTCTCAGGCCACCTTCCCAGACCGCAACTTAACTCTGCCCCGAGACACGCCTCTAACCGATTCCTGTTTCCCGGAGTATTAACTGGGGCAAACCGCTGTCCTAAACGAATGGCATACAAACACCTTTAACCTCCCAAGACAAGAGGAAAACGGAGGCACTAGATGGAGTTTTGGAAGCCAAGATGCCCAAGGATGGCTGGGCAAATGACTCCGCCTAGTCCCTCCTCCGCTGGCCCCTAGCTCCTCTCAGCCCCGGAGAGCCCGGCCCAAATTACTCTCGTCCCACACTATTGGCTCGCCCAGACATCAGTCGCCACGCGCTCTCTTACTCTATTGGCTGGTATTTTCACCTCCCTGCCCCGCCCCTTAGCCCACGCCCGCCCTTGCAATTGGACTCGCCGCAAGCCCTTTTCCCAGAGACCCTCCCTATTGGCTGCAAAACTTTGCCGGTTCGGGCTGTGATTGGCCGTGAACAGAAGTCCAGCCCCCGAACAACCACCTGAGAGGGGTTGGAGAATGGAAAGGTTGGAGGGACGTGGGGTCAGACTCACGCTGAGCCGGCGGGAGGCAGACATAGGTCTTGAAGAACTCGCTTCGGCGGGCGCCCGCCTTAATGCGGTTGGCAAGCGGCTTGCTGATCTGCCGGATGCCCAAGTATAGCAGCTTCGCCATGGGGAACGCACCCACCACCATCTTGGCGGTCGCACGAGGGACGCGTAACCCTCCTGACTGGGCGTGGCGCTTCCAACCTCTCCCTCCTCCTCCGCCCGCTTGTCGCTGTGCGTGCGTGCGTGCGTGCCTACGCTGGGGGGGACTGCTTACGTCACCTCGTCGCGCTTACGCGCCGACGTCGTTCGCTGAATATGCAAATGTACGGCGGAAGCGAGGCGGTCAGAGGGCAGTGTCGTTAAACGGCTGATTGCGGGAGCGTGGATGGGTCCCCACTTCGGCGTCGGGTGGTGTTGCCACGCTCTTTCGAGACGTTACGTACCTAGGTGGTCGCTCGGCCCCAGTGAGGCTCTCAATTAGTCCTAATTAGGGTTAATGAATCCCAAATACACCTGCCCCCGCAGGTTAGGGCTGTCAGTGGGATTAAGAGAAAACTGGCTGTGTAGTCATACAGACCTGGTTTGAGAGCCCAGCTCCGCCATTCATTCATTTGCTGTGTGATATTACGCGAGTGACTTAACCTCTCTGGGCATCAGTATTGGCGTCTACAAAACGTGATTCATGATAGCTCTTACTGGGTTGCATGTGCATCTGAATGTAAAAATATAACGAACTCTGGTAAGTGCTTAGAACGGTGCCAGTCGCATAGTAACTTAATAAGCATTTAATAAACAGCCCTTCTTACTAGAAACGTATTAGTGTCATCATTGCTAACTCTAGTGGGAGGCTGCATTTCATCGCCAGAGGCAGCTAATCCAGCCCTCTCCCAAGCAACAGAGAAGGGCAGGGGGCTGGCACAAGGTCCCTCAGCCGGCAGAGGTTGAGAGCCCAGCATTTTGGCCAGTAAAACCATACCCGGTGTCAAGCAGCCCCACTGCCTCCATTGCGGGGCGAGGGTCCCCAGGGAGCTGGCTCAGGAAGGAGTTTAAGGACATGTTCCAGCCTGTCCTCCCTTCCCCAGCAGGGAGCAAAATCGTATAAACAGGGTCAGGAAGGGGTTGAGAGAAATTTCTGGGTGGTGGAGTGCTGATGGGTAATTGAGAGGCTCCAGGAGCGGCCGAGGGAGACGAAGAGAGGAGCAGAGGAGTGGGGTGCAAGACGGCACAAACCTTCAGCACGTAGAGTCGGGAGACCCTGGGCTTTCCTTGCATCCACTCCGACTCCCCGACCATCCTTTGTCAAGTCCCAGGCGCTGGTGTTCCTGTTTCTTCATCTGTCATAATGATGGCACTGACATGTGTGAACCCAGATATTCTAAATCATGTAGTAATCGTGACAAGGCCATAAAACAAATCTCCCCTGGGATCCCTTCTGGATAAAGTGTGAGGGAGCTTGGAGCCTATCCAAGGTCCATATCCACTAGGGACCAACCCCCTCCCCATTTTACAGACTGGCTAACGGAGGCCAGAGAATGAAAAGGATTTATCCAACATTCCAAGGGTCATCAGGATGGAGCTGAAGGCTGGGATTTCACCCCCTTCCTTTAAAATGTGATTTTGCTTTTTAAAATATGTTTTTATTGATTTGAGAGTGAGAGAAAAAGAGAGAGGAACATTGATGTGAGAAACATTGATCCACTGCCTCCACACGCACCCCAACTGGGGATTGAACCCGCAACCTGGGCATGTGCCCTGACTGGGAATCAAACCCAGCGATCTTTGATTGTACAGAACTATGCCCAACCAACTGAGCCACACACTGGCCAGGGTGAGGCTGGGATTTCTTGAGACCCACCCCCAAGTCTTCTCCTGGAGCCCAAGGACCTACTGGGGGGAACTAAGGTACTTCCAAACTTGTACATGACTTTTTTCTCTAGAAGTCACTGCTGTTTCTTCAGTTCCTAGAACAGTGCCGGGCACATAGTAGGTGCTCAATAAATATTTATTGAATGCAAATGAGCATTTGGTGAAGGGTAATGTGCAGGCTTTCGTCTCATCCTCTGAGGAGACTGTGTTCAAAATATCTGACCCCCTGCAACTCCATCCCAATAGCTTTATGGTGGTGAGACAGGATGGGGAAATTACCAGAGCCCCCAGATCCTAGACCCCCCTTTTTCTCTCCCAACACCAAAGCCCCAACTTCCTGCATCTCAGTAACCCCCGCCCCTGCAAAACCATTTTCTTCATTAAGTTCTTTTCCCCCCCTCATTCCCATCCTCCCTCCTCTTCCTTTCTCTGAGAAGGGTTTCCAGGAACCTCTTCTGGGAACTTCTGGGGCAAGGGTGTGTGTGGAGAGAGGTGGGGGTCGTCACATCTCATCAGGAGCATGGAGCCTGTTAGGTAACCAAGAAAGGTCACCTACCAGAAGGGGTGAGGCCGGTCCAGAGGCAGGTGCGTCCTCCTGTTCTCCAGCCTGGCTATAGGAGGACCGTTCCTGGTGACCTCTGGGGGCTGAGAGCGGGAGGGAGAGACCAGCCAGAGCCCGCAGCCTTGGCCACTCTGGGGCGTGGGAACAGAGGCGGCGACCGGGAGGGGAGCGGGAGCCCAGGATGGCCGCAGGCTGACTCACCGGCTGTGCAACTCGGGGCTACGCTCTTGGCCTCTCCAGTGACCACCCCGGAACAGGGCCTGGGATCGCTCCCAGAGGTCCTTCCAGCTCAGGCTCTCAGTCACCGTTTTCCCAGGATGGGCAAGAGGCTCATGCTGCACAATCCCACAGGCCCCCAGCTTCTTCCCTCATTGTGTTTCCTCAAAGTAAAAACCCCAAAGCAAGCGCAGCACCATTCCTTCTCACTCCACCGCCCACCTCGGTCCCCCTGCCAGCATCTCCCACGTGGGCTACTACACCACTCCACGGGGCTCCCAGCTTCCGCCCTAACTTCCCCTATTCTGTTCCCCACTCAGCAACCAGCGGGATCCGGTTAACATTGAAGTCAAATCACATCCCTCCTCTTATGGCTCCCATTTACCTCAGAGTAAAAGGCAAAGTCCTTAGCAGGACTTTGCGAGCCCCGAAAGATGGGCCTCTGTCCCCTTGCCAGTCTCACTCCCACTTCTGTCACCCCCCATGTGCTGTAGGCACACCGGGGTCCTACTACGCCTCAGAATTCAGGCATCTCTGACTCCAGGGCTTTCCACTTGCTGTTCCCTCTGCCTGCAATGCTCTTCTCCCCCCCACCCCCCGCCCCCGGCAGCCACAGGGGCCCCCTCCCCTCCTCCAGGACTTTGCTCAAATGCCACCTTCTCAGTGAGCCCTCCCCTGACCTCGTCTAGCTCAGACTCCATGTCCCTCTGTCCCCTTGTGTGGCTTTATTTTTACCCAATATACTTATCAGTTCCAAACTTTGTATTTATTTTGCTTTACTCCCTTACCGGGCGCCCCTTGATGGTGGCTCCGGGGCTGTCTTGGTCACCACTGCGTCCCCAGCCCCAGCCCGCACAGGGCCGATGGGAAGTACAAATAAACCTGTTGACTGAACGACTCCTCCGGCCAGTCTTCCTTGATTGCCCTCCACTTGGGTTTGGACATTCTCCCTCTTCTTCCTCAGTCCTGACTTGGAGAGTGTTAATCTGAAAACTCAGAAGTGCTCCGTCCTGCTCACTCTCCCCTACATGACAGGGGCTTCCCTACAGCAAAAGTGATCACTCCACACACAGTGGGTTTCTCCTTCCGCCTTCCCCTTGAGTCACCCCCTCATCGGAAATCATCCTCACATGGTTTTTGTGTGTGTGTGTGTGGTTTTCTTTTTCTTCATCTCTGGAAACTTCACGTACTGGTCTCCTCCTCCAGGAAGCCCTCCCTGTCCCCCAGACTGGGTCAGATGCCCTTTGGGGTTCCCCCAGACCCTGGCCTCTTCTGCCTGAGCCCTGCCCCCCTGGATCATCACTGTCCAGGGACAGATCTGTCTCCCCCATCGGAGGGGGAGCCCGTGATGGTCGGGCCAGGTCTGCCACTCATCACCCCTATGTCGCTGACACTGCCCCGGGCAAGGCCAGGCACCGTTCAGCTGGACTGTTAAGGGGCCGTGGCGGGGGATGACAACTGACCAGCGACACCCCAACCTCGCTGTTTTCCTCTTTTCTTATATTCACATGATTAGTCACATGGCCTTATTTACATACAATCGGCATACACCAGAGCAAGAGGGGCCAGGGTGTGGGATGGATTTGGGGAGGGGTGCGTCTCTGTGCGACCTGAGGTTCATTGCGCCACCGGTGGCAGCATCTTCAGCTGCACCTGGTCCTCCTGGGAGGGCGGAGCTGCCGCCCAGCCGGCGGTGGCCGTGACCCTGGCCACTGTGCTCCTCTTGGAAGTGAGCGGGGTCTCCAGGGTGAGGGAGGCGCTGGCCATCTCCTGGGGCTTGTCGCTGGCCAGGAAGCGCAGCAGGTCGTGCAGGGCCCTGGCGACGTCGCTGCGGGTGCCCTCGTTGACCAGGCAGTAGAGGATGGGGTCGGCCACGCAGTTGAGGCTGGTGAAGGCCAGCGAGCTGTGGTAGGCGGGGAACACGCGCTCCTCGAAGCCGCAGTCCCAGGGCCGGCCCAGGTGCACGGCGCTGCGGGACAGCAGCAGCACGTGGTAGGGCGCGAAGCAGACCAGCACGATGGCGATGAGGCTGAGCGCCAGCCGCTTGATCTTGGTCTTCTCCTGGCGCTCGGTGGACACGCTGCCCCGCACGGCGCGCAGGATGCCGCGGTAGGACAGCAGCATGAGGGCCCAGGGGAACAGGAAGCCCACGAAGACCCGGTAGAGGTTCATCCAGGCCACCCAGCCCTCCATGGGGAACTTCTCGAAGCAGAAGGTGTGGTTGTAGCGGTCGCGGAAGAGCTCGTCATGGAACAGGGGCGCCGAGTTGGCGCCCAGCTCCGTGGCCCAGACCACCGAGCTCACGGCCACGGCCGTCTTGACGCGGCGCAGGCGGGCGAAGCGCAGCGGGTGGGCCACGGCCAGGTAGCGGTCCACCGAGATGCAGCACAGGAAGGCGATGCTGATGTAGATGTTGGTGTAGAAGACGAAGCCGAAGAGCTTGCACGAGCCGGGCCCGTGGATCCAGTTGTCGTGGTGCAGGAAGTAGTCCACCCAGAGCGGCAGCGTGCAGATGTACAGCAGGTCGGCGATGCTCAGGTTCATCAGGTACACGCCCAGCTCGTTGCGCTGGCGCACCTGGCGGTAGGCGGCCCACAGCGCCAGGCAGTTGGTGGGCAGCCCCACGCCGATGACGAAGATGTAGAGCGAGGGCGGGAAGAGGTGGTCCATGCGCGAGTCCACGTGGCAGCCCTCCCAGCTGCCGTTGCAAGGACTGAATCAACACAAGAGGGAATTGGGGGGGGCGGGGGTGAGGGGGATGGGCCAAGGGCTTTGTCAAGGAGGTGTAGACGCAGTCAGAGCGCCAATGGGGGAGGAACGGGGTGACCCAGAAAGTGGCCGAGGGGCGTGTTTATGGAGGAGATGCAGGCGTCGGTGGGCCCTGGGGGGACTCTGTACAGGATGAACAGGTGCACGTGGGGCCGAGCTGGAGTAAAGGTGGGAGGAATGTACCAGAAGACACAGGGAACATACAGGAAGGTGCTGAGACAGGACGGGCTACAAGCAGGGAGTGAGCAGACCAGGCAATGCGGGTGTGGGTGCTGGCATTTCCCGGGAAAAGGTATTGGGGGGTGGGGTGGGGGGGACAGGGCGGAGGAAGGGCTCAGCCTGGGGATGTGGGAACTGGAACAGGAAGGAGGTGAGTAAGGGCCAGATCGCAGGCGGATTGTAGACAGAAGGGGCAATGGGAAGGGGGCAGGGGAGGCTGCGGCCTGTCCTGTGGGGGCTGAGCAGTGAGATGAGGCGGCCCCACCTGACGGTTCTGTTCTGCGCGCTGGCCTCGCGGTGCCTGTGGGGAGAGGCCTGAGTGAGGGGCGTGGCTGTGACATGCCTGGCAGAGACCCCCCTCCCCCTGGAGGCTGCAGAGGGGGGCCACCCAGATCATGCCTCTTTGACCCCCATGCTAGACAACAGCTCTCTGAAAACACAGATCTGAGGCGCCAGATATATTTTCCCCTAATAGATGTTAAAATAATGACCCTGCTTAGATTTTAGAACATTCTTCCAGAAACCACATAAAGCTGGCATGGGAGTCTATCCTGCTTGGGGGAAAGCTGGATGAGGTTAACGCCGTCATTTCACAGGCAGGGGGGAGGGGCTCAGAGAGGCTGGGTCACGCCCCTCAAGGACACACAGCAAGGTAGTGACGGAACCGGAACCGGAACCAGAAATGGAACCAGAACCAGCCTCTCATTCCTAACCCAGGGCACCCCATTCTTTTTTCTTTTTTAGCTTCTTTTTATTTTTATCCTCACCTGAGGATATTTTTCCATTGACTTTTTTTAAATTTTGTTTTATTGCTTAAAATATTACAAAGAGTATTACATATGTCTCCTTTTTATTTCCCCCCTTGACCTTTCCCCGGCCTCCCCTCCTCTCACCAGGGCCCAGGCCAGGGAGAAGCCTACAACTTAGGTACATTCCCTTGATCGGAATTGAACCTGGGACCCTTCAGTCTGCAGTGCCTTGTGTCCACTAGTTATGCTTATATGCATGCATACTAGTCCTTTGGTTGATCTCTTACCGCCCCCCTGCCCCAACCCTCCCTGGCCTTCCTGCTGTAGTGTGACAGTCTGCTCGACGCTGCTCTGCCTCTGTATCTATTTTTGTTCATCAGTTTATATTTCCATTGATTTTTAGAGAGAGTGGAAGAGAGAAAGACTCAGAGAAACATCAATATGAGAGAGACACATCAATTGGTTGCCTCCTACACGAGCCCTCTCACCAGGGCCCAGGCCAGGGAGAAGCCTACAACTTAGGTACATTCCCTTGATCGGAATTGAACCTGGGACCCTTCAGTCTGCAGGCCGATGCTCTATCCACTGAGCCAAACCGGTTAGGGCCAGGGCACCCCATTCTTGATAGTGATGATGAGGAGGAGGGTATTCACAGCTAAAGTTAGTGAGTCCTGCTATATAGCAAACCTTGTTCTAAGCACTTTTCTGGGTGTTGATTCTTTCAAATGTCAAGAACCCCATTGAAAGTACTATTATTC